TGCACGGTCATGCAACACTGTACCCGTATGAAATTTTTAACATTTTTTTGTGACAGAGCTTTATTTTGGTGGTATTTAATCACCTTTGGGTTTTTTATTTTTTCTTAAATCAAAAACCGCAGAAAATTTTGAACAAAAAAAAACTTTTTTTCTTCGTTTTTGTTGTAAAATTTTGTAAATAAGTGATTTTTCTCCTTCACTGATGTGCGTTATTGAGGCTGCAGTGATGGGCACTGATAGGCTGCACTGATGGGCACTGATAGGTGACACTGATGGGCACTGATGAGGAAGCACTGGTAGGTGGCACTATTGGGCATTGACAGGCATCACTGATTGGCACTGAAAAGCAGCACTGATATATGATACTGGAAGACGGCACTGACTGGCACTGTTAGGCGACACTGACTGGCACTGTTAGGCGGCACTGACGGGCACTGATAGGCGGCACTGATTGGTAGCACTGATAGATGGCACTGATGGGTGACTGTGAAAGGCAGCTCAGATGGGCACTGATATGTGGCATTGATGTGCATTGGTAGGCACTGATATGTGGCAGTGATGTGGCACTGATGGGCACTGTCACTTGGCACTGTTCAGCACTGACAGCTGGCACTGATGGACACTTACAGGTGGCACTTCTGAGGCCACACTGATCATCAGGGCACACTGATCATCAGTGCCCTGATGATCAGTGTACATGTCCCCTCCGCGGAATGCCGATTACCGGCTCTCCTCTCCTCTTGAGCTGTCAGCGTGACAGCTCGTGAGGAGAGAAATGCCAATAACCGGCATTTCCCTGTTTACATGTGATCAGCTGTGATTGGACACAGCTGATCACATGACCGAGTCGACATCTTCGGCTCTTTCTGTAGATCGTGCTCCCTGAGCCGCGCATGCGCGGTGAGAATGGCAGGACGTCATATGACGTCCTCCCAGAACGAGAGAACCACCTTGCGCCTGTCATTGGACTATATGGCGGGCGGGACGTGGTTAAAATCAGCAAGCATCTGATCCGGGTCACAGTGCAGTCCTTAAGCATCTGTCAAAATATCAATATATTCTTGAGCACTGGTACTCACATGTGTGTCCTTGTAAACTCTAACAATAATGGATGCTGGTGGTCTTAAGCTTTCCATGATGCTCTGTTTTTTCTTTTCCTCTGAGCAGGTCCATTCCTCTATCACTTGTTGAGCAAAATCTTTTCACACTTCAAAGCTTTCTTCACCAGCAGGGACAGGTAGCACTCCTGAAAAAGCCTTCAATTTGCGGTAAGAATCAGCATGTAAATTCTGAGCAATGACTTCAGTGACTTTTAGCAGCAGATGCTCAATATTTGTTTCATGCTTAGTGGCTGTAGCAGGCAACATTCCAGTCTCTCCTGATGAAGCCGTTGTATTCAATGGTTCACACTTTACAGGCAGGGCTGGAAACGTTTGCCTTACTGGAGGTGAAATCACTGGAAATACTACAGCACAACCAATTGCTTCAGCCCCCTTTGGATTAATGCAAAAGGGCCCTTTAACTGGATTTAAATCCACCTCACTGAGACAGAGATAATGTGTATATAGTTCAAAACTCTCATCTTCTTCTCTTTTATCCACAAGAGTGGCATACTGCAAGGTTTCATTTGCTTTTAGTGCCCCCTGCATTCTGTGGGATCTCACAGTGATAGGCATATATGAAATGGCAAATGTCCTTTTAGTTGGCAGTCCCTCTTCTAGGGCCCACTGCCTCACAGCTTCTGTTGATAACAGTGACATGGTCTTTCCTAAATGTCCTGATCCAAGATAAATCTCAGCAGTGCCTCCAAATGTAACACTATTTGTACAATCTTTGCGGCTACTGAGGTATGATGGTGCCTCCTGTATAGTATTTAGGAGCAGAATCCTTATAATCTGTGTGATCAGGACAAGATCTCTAACAAGCGCTAGTGCCTCCACTCAATTGGGGCTTGTGGATAACAAGTGAAATCCCAACTGAGAAATGTATCATCCACAGACAGTAATCCACACAGCAGTGTATATGAAAGTCCATGTATTGAAGGAATAACATTCAGTGAACCATCCAACATAGAGTATCTTCCAAACAGGAATATTAACAGTCTTTTCTGCATGTCTCAGTGAGGCTGCAACACTTACAGTCTGAGTTCTCTCTCCAGGAAATCCACACTTCCCTCTTTTTTCACAAGTCTCTCCCTGATGACCTCATCCTCAGAGCCCAGAGAGCATAGCAGCTATATTGGAAAAGGGCAAAACAAACACTGCATAATAGAAGCATACACTGGAAAATGGGCAAAGAAATGATCACATCACTACACAGCTCATGAAAACCCCAAATCCGCAATCTCAGAAAATTAGAATATTGTGAAAAGGTGCAATATTCTAGGCTCAAAGTGTCCCACTCTAATCAGATAATTAAGCCATAACACCTGCAAAGGGTTCCTGAGCCTTTAAATGGTCTCTCAGTCTGGTTCAGTAGGAATCACAATCATGGGAAAGACTGCTGACCTGACAGTTGTGCAGAAAACCATCAGTGACACCCTCCATAAGGAGGGAAAGCCTCAAAAGGTAATTGCAAAAGAAGTTGGATGTTCCCAAAGTGCTGTATCAAAGCACATTAATAGAACGTTATGTGGAAGGGAAAAGTGTGGAAGAAAAAGGTGCACAAGCAGCAGGGATGACCGCAGCCTGGAGAGGATTGTCAAAAAAAGGCCATTCAAAAGTGTTGGGGACTTTCACAAGGAGTGGGACTGAGGCTGGAGTCAGTGCATCAAGAGCCACCACACACAGACGGATCCTGGACATGGGCTTCAAATGTCGTATTCCTCTTGTCAAGCCGCTCTTGAAAAACAAACGTCAGAAGCGTCTTACCTAGGCTAAAGAAAAACAGGCCTGGTCTATTGCTCAGTGGTCCAAAGTCCTCTTTTCTGATGAGAGCAACTTTTGCATCTCATTTGGAAACCAAGGACCCAGAGTATGGAGGAAGAATGGAGAGGCACACACTGCAAGATGCTTGAAGTCCAGTGAGACGTTTCCACAGTCTGTGTTGATTTGAGGAGTCATGTCATCTGCTGGTGTTGGTCCACTGTGCTTCATTAAGTCCAGGGTCAACGCAGCCGTCTACCAGGAGATTTTGGAGCACTTCATGCTTCCTTCCGCAGACGAGCTTTATGGAGATGCTGACTTCATTTTCCAGCAGGACTTGGCACCTGCCCACACTGCCAAAAGCACCAAAACCTGCTTCAATGACCGTGGGATTACTGTGCTTGATTGGCCAGCAAACTCGCCTGACCTGAACCCCATACAGAATCTATGGGGCATTGCCAAGAGAAAGATGAGAGACATGAGACCAAACAATGCAGAAGAGCTGAAGGCCGCTATTGAAGCATCCTGGTCTTCCATAACACCTCAGCAGTGCCACAGGCTGATAGCTTCCATGCCACGCCACATTGAGGCAGTAATTGCTGCAAAAGGGGCCCAAACCAAGTACTGAGTACATATGCATGCGTATACTTTTCAGAGGTCCGATATTGTTCTATGTACAATCCTTGTTTTATTGATTACATGTAATATTCAAATTTTCTGAGATTGTGGATTTGGGGTTTTCATGAGCTGTAAGCCATAATCATCACAATTATGACAAATCACGCTTGAACTATTGTGCTTTGCATGTAATGAGTCTATCTCATATATTAATTTCACCTTTTAAGTTGCATAACTGAAATAAATGAACTTTTGCACAATATTTTTTTCGAGTTTCACCTGTAGTTCTGTTAAATCTAATGGAAATTGTACAGAGATTGTATAACCAGATTGCATAGTGTATTGCCATCTTTATACATACATTTGCACATAGGAGGGAGTGGATAGAGACACTCAGTTGTTAGGCCCATTCACAGTGAAGCCTGCCTGAAGGGACGCTGTGGTAGCCAGGCAAATGCACAAGGGGAGAGATTCTGGGGATGCTGTGGAAAAAAATAGTTGATGGGTGACCGGTGCGTATTAATGAGGTCAGTGCAGGATGTTTGAACTAATAAGATCAGCTGGTAATCTGCTTTCGGGGTCCTACTGGCTTCTCTGTCTACATTCCAGGAACTGAAAAAGCTTTCTAAGAAATTTGCCAAGGGCTAAAATAAGGCCATGCTCTCCAGATTAAAGAGAGCTTGAATATTTTTTGCAACTGAGGTATGTTAATGGTATATTGGTGCATAGGGGAGCTGGATTTTATTAAAAGAAAAATTTTTTTAACTTAGTCTTTAAGAATTATGTCGGGAACGTCATTTAATCAATTAAAGAAGCTGGCATTTTTAAAATTGGATTATCAAGTTTTTACCTGGTCATTAATTCATTTTCAGTTTTTCATTATTTAATCATATTTGATAAACAACATTTTTAACTATTTAATTTACAGTACTTTTTATTTTTTTTTTATAAAAATAAAGATTATATTAGTCTTAGACACATATCTGATTCTAATTGTTTTTTAAATGTTTGCAAATGTAATGCAAATCTTTCTTTGTTATCCTATATGACTAAAATATGATGAAGACAGCTTCAGATTACATTCTTCCTATAAAATACTTACCTTAATGTAGACACAAACCTATTTACATTGTACTAAAATTTAGTAAAAGCTATGACATGTTGATGTAGTAAATGTTTCCAATTTTTTAAAATCCTCAGAATTCAATAAAAGAATATCTTGTGATCCTGTTATGAAGGTCCTTGTTCAGACTCCTTGTTAGGTCCTTGTTATGGGGTGACAACTGTCTTCCATTTGTGCTCTTGTGCTGTCACCCTGTCCCATATGCCCCTTATGAAAAGTACAAGGGGCCGTGCCAATACAAATCACTAATGAATGGTCCACTATTATCACCATCAGAAACAAGTGCAGAGTAACAATATTCAGCAGACACTCAAACAGGTGCATGTAGAAATGGGAATGTATTCTCCTCTGCTAACATATCATCATATATGAAGTGATTTACATTTGCCTTATACCTTTGCTTTAAGCTGATACCAGTGAAAGGATAATGTAGAGTTTTCCTCAAAGTCCCATAATTCCAGAGGTATTGTCACTTCTCCTAGGAAGACTTTTCTCTTCAGTGTACTTGCATGCCACACTGACACATGAAGAGTCCTTGTCTCCAGTTGGGAGCGGTCAATGGTGTACTGGGAAAGAATATAACAATAAGCAAAGGAAAGCCTATAAAGTTAGTCCATCATCAATAGTACATCTGTTTTTTACTGGCAAGGCCTTTCATACATCTGTATGTTCATACTTTCTACCACAATTAATCACTTTTAGAGTGTACGTAAACCCTTACAATGAACATCTCTTATTTGTTCCCTTATGGTCTATTAGTTATACAACCAATAGTTATATAACCTAAGTTATGGAGTTGAGGAGATGGGGAGGTTATCTGTAGTCATAACACACTTCCTGTACAGTGCATGAGAGTTGTCATCCAAGGAGAGGAAGTGTATTACCAGCATGAATACCAGGTTAAAATAAAGCAACGAAGCCTGAAAAAAGAAAACAAATGCAGATATCATATCTAGGTACTGGTAAACTACAATATTTTACATTTTCATTCTTCGGTTATCATACATGATCCTGTATCAATGATTGAATATGTTAGGTGTAAATTCATTCTGCAAGTTTGATAATGTATATGTTTGTATATAAATAAGACTGTGCAGTGCTCTAACAATGAAAAAATAATATCCTCAATCCTCTACCTATATAAAAATCAATATACATACATATGCAACTTATACATTATCTTAGTACATAAATAACCATCTAATAACTTGCTTGATCAAAATAGTCCACTTTCCAAACACCATTCAAAGTGCATTTACAGTTTTATCACAAAACATCAAATGGATACATTTCCACCAAAACAGCGATTCATAACATTCCTATGTTCTTGTAAGCCAGTCCACATAATATGAGTGTACTTAATATTATCTTCACATTATGCACACCACCACCTCTTCCTGGGATCACCACCACCTCTTGCTGTAATTGCCGCCACTTGTGCATAATCCTAATGGGATACATGGACCCCTGAGTTAAGTCAGTTCAGAATGCAACACACCAGGCAGGGTTGCTCTGTGATGTCATCATGCTAGTGGGAAGAGGGCCCTGTATCCTGTCAGGAGAATGCTAGGCTAAGATTGACACAGTGAGAGTACTGTATGGTACAGAATGCAATGTGATTCAGAGAAAAGTACTTTGTTTTAACATGTCATGTGAATGAGTTTTTAATAGAATTTCAGTAAACGTTTGTTGTATGGAGAACATTGTATGGTTCCTCTTTTTACACTGAGGAATAAATAAGCACTAAGCTGGTCTGTGCCCAGGGGCGTATTTGCCGCGAGGTAAACAAGGCATTTGACTAGGGCAGCACTTTTCAGGGGGGCGGCAGCGCCGCCCCCCCCTTTCCCATGGAGGGGACACTTTTGTGGGAAAGGGACAGGGGCTGCTGTGTCTTACCTGTGTCCGCGACTCCGTGTCCCACGTCGATCCGGTCCACAAGACGCTGCTGGAGGAGGGGTGCAGAGGGTGTCCGTCCAGTGTCTTCATATTCCTGGATCTTGATCGCGATGTGGGTGGGATGACAAGCCGCCCCTCGAATCTGGCCACACCCCTGGGATCACTGGGCAGCCTATGGCAGCCTGCCCCTCCCTCTGCAAGCTCCGCCTCCTCACCGGTGATTGGTCGCCAGATCTGTCACTAATGACACTAAGGATGGGGCACCATCATTTGTGTCAGTGGGAGGAATAGTGTCCCATCATTAGTGTCAGTGTGAGGAATAGTGCCCCAGCATTAGTGTCAGTGGGAGGAATCGTGCCCCAGCATTAGTGTCAGTGGGAGGAATCGTGCCCCATGATTGGTGTCAGTGGGATGAATAGCGCACCATCGTTGTCATTAGGCGGAGCACTAATACGAAGAGGTGGAGCCTAAAGAGGAAGGGGTGGAGTTTTCAGATAAAAGGATGGGGAAAATTTAGATTGCTGGGGGGGGGCCCGATTTTAGCCTTGCCTAGGGCAGCACAAATCCAAAATGTGGACAAAAATACACAAATGTGTGTGCCTGTGAAAGTTATAGCTAGTGAATGTGGTAAATATCAATTTAGCTCCTTTAGGTATAGCAATCAGATTACATGCACAATACCATCCTATAATATTACCTTTAAACTTTCATTGAATATTGGGTCCACTGTATTCCTTTTAGCACTTGTCTTCATTTTACTAGCAGAAGATCTATCTGGAAGTAAGTATGTCTTCACATACCTTAAAAAAAGACACTTGAGTTGTACAGGGAAATCTGTAAAATAAATAGTGGGTGTTGTTTACTAAAACTGGAGAGTACAAAATCTGGAGCAACTCTGCACAGAAACCAATCAGCTTCCAACTTCAGCTTGTTTGATTAAAGCAATAAAACCTTGAAGCGGATTGGTTTCTGTGCAGAGTTGCTCCATTTGGCTCCATGAGCAGGGCCCTCATATTCCTTCTGTACTGAAATGTATTGTAATTGTACTGTCTCCATTATATTGTAAAGCACTGCGCAAACTGTTGGTGCTATATAAATCCTGTATAATAATAATAATTTTGCACTCTTCAGTTTTAATAAATAACCCCCAGTGATTTTTCCACATACCAAAGCATAGTAAATACAATACTGAAGCCCACAATACCATAATGTGACAGTCATATGGTGTAATACCATGCACTTTCTTCTATACTAATTAATGTACAATACCCATCATTTCTTGAGCTGATGGGTGGATTGGCAACTTTGTATATGCATGATACCACTAAATAGTCAGTATGGTTAATTGGAAAAACTCCAAAATACTGTTAAAAGGAGGTATCCAGAAAGTATAACTGGAAAATCATTACACCCAAGGTTCCTAAACACTTGCAAGCAAATCTACCATCCACAAAAAATGTATATTAAAAGCAAAGTAGCTCTTGGGTATTACAGATCAGTGGCAAATGTAACCTCCTCCCCAACCCTCATAAAAATAAAAAAAAAACACATTATATAACATATGATATCTAAAACTGGTCACATGATTGGGCTGCCTTTCCAACTTTTTTCTTTAACAGAACTTTCTTACAGTTTTGTTGCGCTCTACTTGCTTCAGAGACCAAAGCCAGGGGAGCCTATAGCACATTTGTAAATCACATCCCTTTGCTTAATAAACATGCATGTTGGTTTTTTTGTTAAGAGCAGCAGTATGGCCAGCTCAGGGGTTGGAGGAACCGTTAAGATAGAAGTAGATCAGTGCTGCCAACCATAGTGTAGTAAATAAATACAGATTTATTAAATAACAAGCAGCAGTAATATACTTATGAAAGCTTGTGGAGCAAAGCAAGAACACAGTGACTACTGCTATGGATTTTTTATTTAATAAATATATCTATATGCACAAAATTGCCAAAAATATTGGGAAACCCCTCCAAAACATTGGATTCAGGTGTTCCAATCACCTCCATGACCACAGGTGTATAAAATCAAGCACCTAGGCATGCAAGACTGCTTCTACAAACATTTGTGAAATAATAGGTCGATCTCAGGAGCTCAGTGAATTCATCCATGGTACTGTGATAGGTTGCCACCTGTGCAATAAGTCCATCCGTGAAATTTCCTTGCTACTAAATATTCCACGGTCAACTGTTAGTGGTATTATAACAAAATGGAAGCAACTGGGAACAACAGCAACTCAGCCACGAAGTGGTAGGCCACGTAAAATGACAGCAGAGTCAGCGCATGCTGAAGCGCACAGTGTGCAGAAGTCACCAACTGTCTGCAGAATCAATGGCTAAAGACCTCCAAACTTCGTGTGACCTTCAGATTAGCGCAACAACAGTGCATAAAGAGCTTCATAGAATGGGTTTCCATGGCTGAGCAGCTGCATCCAAGCCTTACTTCACCAAGTGCAATGCAAAGCATCAGATGCAGTGGCGTAAAGCACGCCGTCACTGGACTCTAGAGCAGTGGAGTCATGTTCTCTGGAGTGATGAATCACACTTCTCTGTCTGGCAATCCAATGGACGTGTCTGGGTTTGGCAGTTTCCAGGAGAACGGTACTTGCCTGACTGTTTGTGCCAAATGTAAAGTTTGGTGGAGGGGGGATTATGTTTTACTGGGGTTGACTTGGCCCCGTAGTTCCCCCAAGACATTATGGACAATTTCATGCTCCCAACTTTGTGGGAGCAGTTTGGGGATGGCTCATAAATTAGGTATGAATTTGAGCCGAGACTGCGAGTGAGGCCAGACATCAGTGCCTGACTTCACAAATGCGCTTCTGGAAGAATGGTCAAACATTCCCATAGACACACTACTAAACCTTGTGGACAGCCTTCCCAGAAGAGGTGAAGCTGTTAAAGCTGCAAAAGGTGGGCCATATAATATTGAACCCTACAGACTAAGACTGGGATGGCATTAAAGTTCATATGCGTGTAAAGGCAGGAATCCTAATGCTTTTGGCAATATAGTGTATTTATAAACTACACTATGGCTGGCTTCGCTGTTCTCCCCCACATTTATCTTAGCAAGCTTAGCAAATGTACTTTCCTCCTGCAGAAAAGTGCTGACGTAATTCTTCCAGACTGCAACTCTAAACCTAGGCATAGTCACTTGCCTGTTTTTAATGATAAAGGCAGAGATTTCTCTTTTTCCACTGTTGCCATACATTTTGACTCATCATGATTTTTTTTTAATGCAGACATGTAAAATTACTAACTGGACAGCTTTAAGCCCCTTCATCATTTGTAAAAGTATATTTTTATTATTTATATCTGAAGAAGTGATTGTGGTCTAAAACCGTGCATGGTAATGTTTTCTTTATCGGAAAGGGTAAGTGTGAATTTCTGAGCTCACCATAAAATATTTGAAAGTTAATAGTCTGGCAAAAAACACAAACAAAATACATACATGGGAGATATATTCCCTTTGAAAGGGTTTGTATTCTATCCATTCTGTCCTAAGATTTATACAACCCATAACATTTAAATTGGTTCTAAAGACAGAAGGTTTTTTTACCCTAATGCATTCTATGAAATAAGGTAAAAAAAAGTCTGGGTGTAGCTCCTCCCTCAACCCCCCCTTATACTTTCTTGAGCCCCATCTCGATCCAGTTATGTGCATGAGAGCCACGGATGTCCTAAGTCTCTCTTTTCCTCATTGACTCACACAGCAGAAGGAGCCATTAGCTCCTGCTGCTGTCAGTCGCAGACAGTGACCCAATGAGGAAAGAGTAGGGGGGCGGGGCTGAGCTTCATTCAGTGTATGTGAATGGACAATGTCCATTTACAGGAGCGAGGCTCAGGAGCGAGCCTGATCAAGTGCCCCATAACAAAAGACTTGCTATTGGGGGCACGCAGCAGGGGGTAGGAGCCAGGACTGCTGGCGACGGACCCAAAAAGAGGATCTGGGCTGCTCTGTGCAAAGCCATTTCACACAGAGCAGGAGAGTATAACATGTTTGTTATTTTGGTTTTTTAATTAAAACCTTTAGAATCACTTTAAATGGCACATATAGTGTCATTCAACCACTTTCTGTGAGCTAAGGCAGTTAATAACAGACCCCAGGGGAGCTTGGGCTCACAATAGAAATGGTGCTCACACATCACAATGGGAGTGCTGTTCTATCCAGGAATGAGGGCCAGTGATGCTGGAGAAGATAAAGTAGACTCACCTCATCTCATGATAGGCTAGATCTGAGATATGTGTATACTGAAAATTTTTGCTAAGGTGAAGGGAGCAGGGAGATGGGTAAAAAAGCTAGATTTTATTTTAGGATTATAGGAAATAGAGAGGTCTAATACCTGCCCCAAGACTGTGACTGGACAGTTGAAGAGCAGCAGCTGACTTTGAGCTCAATCCTTCGCTAATTATGATCTCTTTCCTGTCAGCAAGTTCCTTGTAAGCATATATATATTCCACACCTGATTAACCTTACGTACAGTATGTCCTTCCCTCTCCCAGTCTGAGTGATGCAGTACAGGGGATTATACTTATCTAATGTAATACCATTTTAGTATAAAAATGCTCTACTGTGCTATGTTTTGGTTCATACAGGGGATCTCTGGTTCCTCCTCACCATAACCTCTGGTTTATACTTCCTTGTTGGGTCCTAGGCTCTAGTCCATGGTTTATACACTGTACTGATGATGATTAAAAAAAAACCTGAAAAAGCTAGCTGTGTGTTGTTTGAAATAAATTTACTGAATTATTTTAGGCTATATCTGTACTATACACCAGTTGTCTATTAGGGCAAAAAGGAATGAGTTGCATGATCCTGTCAACTATCCTAAAATGAAAAATAATCCCCTTATTTTTGGAACATGCCATGAAATGAGACATGTTGGTTCAGTGAAGGGCGTTTTGGTTGCTTTTAGCCATTCTCACTAGAACCTTCTGGGTTATGTTGGGTTATGAAAATATATATGTTTATTTTTAACACATAACTTCATTAATCTGTGTCTTTTTGTATCCGCCTGGACTTCAGCGTTAAAGCGAAATTTTACCATGTACATGTCTTAATTCTGACATTACAGGTCTTACGGGTTACACTTCTTTTTCTTCTCTTCTCCATATGTCAGGTTCTTACATCCTTTGATAGAAATTTCTAGAGATGACGTCTTCATTGTATATTTGATAGCAAATTCAATTTCTCCACTGACATTACCATTGTCAATGCTTCCCCCATCAGTACAAATACTGCTGATGCTGCTCATGCTAGACTAAAAATAAAAGGGAACATTAGTATGCATAATATATGAAAATATCACTCATTGGGTTGCAGTCCAGTTTACTGGACACTGTACAGACCTATAGAGGTACCCTTCTAAAGTAATGGACACTGAGATATAAGCTGAATTGACAAGGAAATCTAATGACTTGGACAAATGCACTGCAGTTGTACCTCAAAGATGATAATAATTAACTTTTCATAAGAAATTCATAATGAATAAAGATATTTTGAGATATTAGTTCTTGGCACAGGATTTTTCAAACTGAGAAACAATGAGCAAGTGATAATTGAAGCTTTCTTAAATATCCCTAACACTAAAACACACCTAGGCAATTAAAATTCCACACTTCACAGGAAACCCCTCCCTCCTCCAACATAACCCCTACCACCATCTGACTGGAACCATTTTGTTTTTAAATTCTAATCTAAAAGCACCAAATACTCACCTAAATCTAACATGCTGGGTCGAAAGACTTCAATCTTCTGGAGTGAAGAGTGTGAAGGTCCTTCATCTGGTGTCCACATCACTGCATAGGTGCTATAGGCATTCTCTGTAGGCTATCCAGTGGTGGCTTTGCACAGAGCTTGGAACTGTAGTGATGTGATAATGTCACCAGAAGGAGACCAGTCTGTACACTTTAGACTGCAGTTTTGGATCACAGTTCTCCCTTTTTAGTTCAAGTTTTTATTATTATTTATTGTTATGATTATTATTAAACTGCAGGCTGCAGTTTTGGATCACAGTTCCCCACACCTGAAGAGGTACCAGCAAGGGACATGGGATTATAGGGGTTTTTGGAAATATTGTGACTGGGTGAGGGGGGGGGGGGGGCACATGGGCTTTAACTTTACCCCAGCTAGAACCTAATCACTAACATGCTGGGTCGAGATACTTAGATCTTCTGGCGTGCAGAGTGTGAAGGTCCTTCTTCTGGTGTCCACATCACTGCATGGGTGCTATTGGCATTTTCTATAGGCTATCCAGTGGTGGCTCTGCACAGGCCTCGAAACTGTAGTGACATGATAATGTCATCCGAAGGAGACCAGTCTGTACACTGCAGACTGCAGTTTTGGATCACAGTTCTCCCTTTTTAGTTCAAGTTTTTATTATTATTTATTGTTATGATTTTTATTATTTTATTATTATGATTTTTTTTCTCACATTTGAATGCAGATAATTAATCATTGACCATTGAACCCTGCAATGTTATAGTTCACTCCAACTCCTGCTAGTCACTTTTGTTAGACAGCTTAGTCTTTTTGTAAATGCGTGGACACATTACTGCCTGGGTGTTATGGCAGAATTGTAATTTGAACAATATTACTAATATAATTAAAATAAGTAAGTTTGGTTTAATATGACCTGGGCTCTATTTGAACACTGATTAAGCTTTACTTGCGTTATTGCTAATTATATCCATTTAAGGTAATGTTTGTGTAAATTAACAGTTACAGATTTAGTACTAGGTCTTAATTGCTGAAATATGGGCAGAGAATGTAGAGCATTACATGAATGCGTGCATATTAATATGTGTTAATGACATATTGAGGCAGAAAAGAGAGAAAGTTCACACTAGCTTTGTTAGGAGGTGTTAGACAGGCATTTGAGAAACATTTTTAACACTCCTCAAATGCCTATGAAAATTCTACACATGGCAGAACACAGTGCTGTTCACACTGAAGCATTAGTGTCATGGTAAAATTGATGAGTCAGGAGGAGTTGAAGCCTCCCATTCAAGTCCATGGTGATGCTCCTCAAATGTCCTGGCAGGCATTTGCGGAGCGTTAATACCATTAAACTTCAGGGCATTTGGGGAGCATTTGAAGAGCATTAAAAAACTTCCAAAAGCTTGTCTAACGCTTGTCAAATGCTATAGGGGCATTTGGCAAGAGTTAGAAATTAGTCAAGTGTGAACGAGCCCTTAAGGAGTTGAAAATCTTCATTCAAAATTGTGTTAAGACTGAATTACTAAATTAAGTTAAAAGCAAATACTTGTTCAATTAAATACTGAGTCATGTGCAGATGCTTTTCATACAAATGAACAACTGAAGTGAATATTCACACAATATTTGAGAAAAAGTTCTCACCTCCTTTAGTAATTCAGCCCAATGATCTCAGAATTTTAAGATACTGTAAAATTTAAAGATAAAAAATTAAGGCTTATTTACTAGCGAATTTGAAAATATTTGCACAATACATTGTGTGAACAATAACTTCAATTATCCAATAATTTGGAGATTACATAAGTAAAGAATGGTTTTCTCTTCACACGATTGTATACCGAAGTGAATCTTCACACAGTGCATTGTGTGTACATTCTCAAATCCTTAGTTCAATTTCTGTATTTCAGAATTATCAATGTTTTTTCTCAGTGCTCTTCTGTAAAGGCAATTTTTTTGTTGGATACAGTAAAGAAGGGAAAGTTTATACTGTGATTAAATACCCCCACTGGGGAGATTCATTCCACTAATTGTTTTGGTGACTACTGTTATAAAATAGAAAGTTAGGGTAAGGGGTATCCTCCAATGGAGACACTTGTTCCTGTGATAACACTTTACATTTGTAATTATGTTCACTTTGGAGAAATGTTTTCTCATTTCTTGTTGTGTCTCTAAAATGATGGAAAAACCCCCCAGTTGGACATGGCCAGCAAAAAATAACTTGATAGGATATGACCCTTATTTAATCCATAAAAAAAAAAAAAAAAAGCTTTGGCTTTACATGCATTGTAACCAGCACCCAAACTTCCCGCAGCATTTTTAACAGACAGAACATGGAAAATTTACTGACAACCTAAAAAAATGACAGAACTCCTATTAAAAACTAAAACAAATTATATTTAAACAGTATAAACACAATATGGAGACACTGATGTCCTCTAGTGTGCTACTAGGGTAGTGTAGGTGAATTTATTGTGTATAACGCATTGTAACTGTGTCTGTAATTAGGACGGGTTAGTGCAGGTCAGGCTTAATGGCTTAACAGGTTGGGAGTCTATCACCTCCACCTGGTTCTGGAGGACCATGGAACCTTCCAGTAGCCAGTGGACAGAAGGGGTGGAGACCTAATCTGCATGTTTATGGGAGTCTAACCAATCCCTGATTTGAAGGCTCTGGTAGAGTGGTGAGACTAACCCATAAACATGGAGGAGTCAGGCTGGCAGGGGAGTCGGGTGGAAGATGGATTGCTGAGAAGACTGTCGGTGGCCTGGGAGGGTCCCCAAGGTCTAGGTCCAGGCCACCCTTGGGCTGACTCAGGAAGATCCATTCAGCATCATGGTATCAGCAGGATCAAGGAGGACAGAGTGAGTACATCAGCACACCCTGGGATTTACAAGGTGAGAAACTTCCACGTATAACAAGCTTTTAAAGGACAGCGCTGTGCTTAATCCTTTATCCTTGTTCTGGGAGATCTGCAGAGCAGCAAGGAGGACTGGTAGTGTCTGCAGGCTGTGCAACTGGGAGCAGTACAGGGGACAGGAGACATTTCTGCATGTAGTATGCAGCAAGCTAAGCTAACTTTCAGAGGCAGGGCTGCATGCCCCTAGCCTGTAAGAGGCTTTTGCTACTGATCCGCAAAGACTGATCGCTTTCAAGTAAAAGAACAGTCCAGGATCTGTTTCTGTAAATGGGAAGGAAGTTGTCCCTGTACATTGATTCATCAAATTGGGCATCCCATAATCCCTATTACCCTATCCAAGTTTGCATAATAAAATACCATAAACTCAAGCTCATGGACTGTTCACTGACTGTGGATGCAAGTGTGGAAAATGCATGTTTCCTGGCTATGCAGAACGTAGGGGGACCTAGAAACACAGCAGCCTTCACAAGGATAGAATTGCATTTGGGAGTTCTCATCCGAGCCATCCCTATAGCAACCAGTACAGCTGTTGCCCCTAGTAACTGGCAACCATCAAACCATAGAATTATTATGTGCTGTCAAATGATCACAGGAGTCAAGCAGGAAAGTGGAATTGTGCTGTACTGCTGTGACTGCGCTATACAAATGCTGTTGTGCATGCTGTTGCCTGTAGCAACCATGTCAGGCCTGTACAAATGTCTTCGTGCAGGTGGCTGGAGTTAAAGACTGTGCTAATTGTGTACCTGCCACTCATGTCAATGAGACCTGTATCATTGGCTTGTATGCCCATAGCCACCATGGCTGCCGCATTCAGATTCAGCTGCTCAACAGGTGGCTGGAACTAAGGACTGTGCTAATTTCAATTTGCTCATTCTAAAGTGGACTGTACTGTTGTTCTGCATGCTGTTGCCCATAGCAACCAAAGCAGGTCATCGCCTTTATGTGGATTACAAAAACCCCTCAGCCCTCCAACGATGATAGGGGTCAAGGAGACTTCTCTTTAGTTCTACACTTTGTTGCCCGTAGCAACTACAATGGGCCAGCATCTCTATGTGGATTACAAATAGTCAGTCGCCCAACAGCAGCTGAGGTTTATGTTCATCTTACATCAAGCCCCGCTTAAAGTCAGTGTAATTTATGTAATCTTGCTTACCGTTACCTGCACCAATCAGGATGGTCTGTCGCTTTGAGGATTACAAATGCCCAACAGGGGTTGAGGCCAAGTATCATGTTGAGACAAGTTCTGCAAATGTCAGTGAACTGTTCTTGTGTTCCTGTCAGGAAACAGCACTCCTTAAGCCTGGAACCCAGTCAGTACACCTCCGCTCAACTGAGCAGGGATTAACACAAGCGTGGGAAAAGTCCTGCAAAACAGTGCCACTGGCACCAACAAGTCTGAGTGAGGGGCATGGCCGCACCATAATATCTTCCCAGCACACCCAGTGTGGAGAGAGAGTGAGAGAGAGGAACAACATAGCGGGTTACCTGAAGCCTTACAGCCAAATTGCAAGTCTTCCAGAAGTATTGGAATTGGTACAAGACTACCTGATGATGGATACCGGTGTGCAGTTGCAACACCGGGGGGAATTGCTCTCGGCACAATCAATGGAATGGAGAAATTGTGTTTGCTGTGTACTAACTGCCGGAGAACCACTGCAGCGATCAGAGCTTGGCTAATGTGCAAGCACTGTGATGAACTGCTGGTGAGGTTGATGCCCAGTGACCTGCCACCTGTCATCCACTTGGTGGACCTAAAGTCGGGACTGTGCATAGGGAAGAAAGAGAAATCCCAGTTGGCCAGCGGAAATCAAGAGAAGTGTGAGGTGCAGTCCTACAGTCTGTCAGGTCTCTGCCACTACTCTTGTGAAAGAGGCCGCATGATAGCAGCAGCCCGGATGGAACAGCCGCAACCAGAGTTGAAGGCTGCTAGTCCAGCTCAAGCTCAAGTTGTCCCACAGGAGAGGCTGGTTGCTGAAGTTTGCCCTGTCAGACCCACCTGGAAGGAGACAAGTCATGATGACCATATGTCCTCAGGTGAAAAGAGTCAACACAGCATGACAAATTGGCAACCCCGCCCAAAAGTGAGGCAGGACTACGTCTTGATTGCAGGTGGCTTTTCAGACCAAAAATATGTATGAATACAGTATATCATAAATGTATTTCTTATTCTATGTTTGAACTGATGCAGGTGATATGCAGTGTTAGAACCTACCTGTTTCATGCTCCCAAAGAATACTGGCTGCTTTGCACCATCTCTTTCCTCTGTCTCTTGGCTTCTAGTTCTTTTCAAATTAAGTTCTTCCTCCTTAGCTTTGTGAATAAGATGATGTAAACTGATGGACTTTTCCAGCTGCCACAAAGATACATTATTTTTTATTAAAATAACAAAAGCAGTGGACATATAATGCACCTACAGCTAGACATGTCACCTGCAATCTAGAAACCTCCACATCCCAACTCTTCTCTTACTCTACCCTCCTCACTGACCCTTACCCAGTTGTGGTCTACCTCCACCCTCCTCTCCCTATTCCCCTTGCTTTTTCTCTTTCTTTCATGTTCTTCTTTCCTTCTCCTCACCAATACACTTTAAACCCCTCATACCGAAAGATGTTCTACCCTGTTATGCTGCCTGCATCTGTTGTTACTTTCTGAAATGAATATTGAAAACCTACAGTCCATTTGTTTAGTTGTTACTATTTGATTGTACTTTTTGCATTCTTTCGTAGAATTTGTACTCCCATTGCGATTGTGACAAATGTTCTCTTGTCTGCCAAACTATAATATTGTATGCTATTGCTTATCAAAACTAAATAAAGTGCATTGAAAGAAATAACAAATACAGCAACAAACAAAATTAGAGTTGCCCATGTGGGGCATATTTACAAATCAGTGAACATTCACAGGTGGCTAATCATTCCTTGTAATTTAAAAACCATGTACAAAGAAGATTCATCTGCAGTGAATGTTTGATGAATGTCACATTCACTGATATATAAATATAGTCATTTTGGGGTCATTACTTAAGCAGAGGGATATTAAAAAATAAAGTCTGATGTTATTTAGTGCAGTCTGTTACTTTGTAGTTGGTATCTTTATTATTCATACCTGACAAGCTATATTAATGGCAGTGTCAGAATGACTCCTCCTTTCTTTTCTTCTTTCTGCACCTTCACCATAGTTTGTAGACAGATGCATTCTGTCATTCAGCATATCATTCTGTGACTTGGAAATTTCTAATACAAAATAAAATAGTGCATTATTGTCACTTTTTTAAAGGGCAAGTATATACAAAAAAAAAACTCAACAAGTAACTGTATTTTGCCACCATGGACTTAAAACCAATGTAATGGCAATTAAAATGTGATCTTATTTCAAATTTTACCAGCTAGTTTCTCAGGAAATTGTAGAATTCACCTGAATATTTCAACACAGATTCAAAGAGGTGCTCATCCTCTTGGACCTGTGGCTGCTCCCTGTGAGACTGAGACCACTGTAGCATCTATCTACATGCCAAATAATGGGTTAATGATAAACTCCTATTCACCAATCCCCTCTGCACTAACTGAACCAGGAAGGTCTCAGTACCCAACACTTCCAGGCTCATAGCTTCACTGTGCATAAAAGTGGCCACCCGCCCAAGTCTATAACTGGCTTATGAAGCAAGGACACATAAACAGGCATCACATAGTGAAAAAAAGGGGGAGAGAACAATGTTCTTGGACAACTTGCCAGCCAGCTTGCTAACAACCGAATTAACTGTCTAACAGTATGCGTTTATAACAGGGGTTTAGTTAGCACACATTTGCAAATACATACGTAAGCCACAGAGCCACGACACGGCACCCTGATCATCTGTGGTCCTAACTCTAAAATTTATGGATAGTAGAGGCACATGCATTTAATGGATAGATCAAGGGCAGGTGGACAGGGAGCCACCCCTCTTAAAGGCAACACTGGACCCCAGCATGTAGCACAATGGCAATAGTGCACCCACGTACCAAAAACTCAAACATGCATAAAAGTGGCCACCCGCCCAAGTCTATAACTGGCTTATGAAGCAAGGACACATAAACAGGCATCACATAGTGAAAAAAAGAGAACAATGTTCTTGGACAACTTGCCAGCCAGCTTGCTAACAACCGAATTAACCTGTCTAACAGTATGCGTTTATAACAGGGGTTTAGTTAGCACACATTTGCAAATACATACGTAAGCCACAGAGCCACGACACGGCACCCTGATCATCTGTGGTCCTAACTCTAAAATTTATGAGTCCCCATAGCTGGCCTGGCAAGTGTCCAAGAACATTGTTCTAATGCCTGTTTATGTTTTGCTTCATAAGCCAGTTATAGACTTGCGGGTGGCCACTTTTATGCATGTTTGAGTTTTTGGTACGTGGGTGCACTATGGTTGCCAGTGCTACATGCTGGGGTCCAGTGCACTCCTTTGCCTTTAAGAGGGGTGGCTGGTCCACCTGCCCTTGATCTATCCATTAAATGCATGTGCCTCTACTATGGGGACTCATAAATTTTAGGAGTTAGGACCACAGATCAGGGTGCCTGGGCTCACGTATGTTGTGCTAACTAAACCCTGTTATAAACGCATACTGCAAGTTGTTTGTTCTCCCCCCCTTTTTTCACTATGTGCCTGTTTATGTGTCCTTGGGTTTTCTGGCCGGGTTTGAGTTTTTGGTACTGGGTGCACTGGGCCCTGGTTGCCATTGTGCTACATGCCCACAATCCTTTGCCTTTAAAGATCTTCTCATTAAATGCATGTGCCTAGGGGAATTTTTAGATTAGACCACAGATGATCAGGGTGCCGTGTCGTGGCTCACGTATGTATTTGCAAAGGTGTGCTAACTAAACCCCTGTTATAAACGCATACTGTTAGACAGGTTAATTCGGTTGTTAGCAAGCTGGCTGGCAAGTTGTCCAAGAACATTGTTCTCTCCCCCTTTTTTTCACTATGTGATGCCTGTTTATATAAGCCAGTTGATAGGTTGGGCGGGTGGCCACTTTTATGCATGTTGAATGAGTTTTTGGTACGTGGGTGCAATATATGCTGGGTCCAGTGCACTCCTTTGCCTTTAAGAGGGGTGGCTCCCTCAGGTCCACCTGCTGTGATCTATCCATTAAATGCATGTGCCTCTACTATGGGGACTCATAAATTTTAGAGTTAGGACCACAGATGATCAGGGTGCCGTGTCGTGGCTCTGTGGCTTACGTATGTATTTGCAAATGTGTGCTAACTAAACCCCTGTTATAATATGTTAGACAGGTTAATTCGGTTGTTAGCAAGCTGGCTGGCAAGTTGTCCAAGAACATTGTTCTCTCCCCTTTTTTTTCATAGCTTCCACTGTCCCTGTGACAGGAGCAGGGTGAGCTGCAGACCAGGGAATTCAGGTTTGGATTAGACATGGGTTCAAGATGAACTAATGGAACAATTCTCACACCCTCTTTTAATTGTAATGATAATGCACTTTGAGGGACTTAAAACTTTCAGCTGCCTTAGAATGGCCAATAATGGAGTATTATATGCAGCACAGTGGCTAAATGGTTAGTAGTTCCATGGCAGTACTAGGGTTGCTGGTTTGAATCCCAGCCACAGCACCACCTGCCTGGAGTTTGCATGTTCTCCCTGTGCCTGCGTGGGTTTTCTCCGGGCACTCCGGTTTCCTCCCACAATCCAAAGACATGCTGGTAGGTGAATTGGATCCTGTCTAAATTGGCCCTAGTATGTGTATGTATGAATGAATGTAAGTTAGGGACCTTAGATTGTATGCCCCTTGAGGGTTAGGGACTGATGTGTGAATGTGCAATATATATGTAAAGCGCTGTGTAAATTGATGACGCTATATAAGTACCATAAATAAATAAATATGCCAGACTACTCACTATAAAAAGGAGGGTACAGAGCAGCCTAAAAAACAAATTAAAGCCAAACTCCAGCTAACACTTTATAAACAAGCAACGATTTTTTTCCTTTTGGAATAAAGGGTTTCGCACAAATAAAATAATCATTGCAAGCACCCCAGTCAGTATGCTAACTAATTTGTCTAAACCCTGTAACTTCTACATATGTAAAACAGCTTGTTCTGTTGAAAATGAACAGACTTACTGGCAAGATCAGCAGGTGAAAATAAAAGAAAGTTAAAAAAAAAAAAAAATCATATATCTAAGAATTGGTAAGCTGCAATAAAAAAAAGAACTGGTAAGTTGAAATTTAATAAATGTTTGCGTTTGGGTTTAATTCTTCTTTAAACTGGCTTGTTCACTACAAGGCTTCCCTTTTATAATATTGGGAATTTTTTCAGGGAAAGCATTTTGGTTTTTTTGTTTCTTTGGAGGTTTCCAGATTTTTATTTCATGCTAATAGGGGTTTTTTTTCTTTATTTTTTTTGTGGTGCTATAAGCACAGCTTTCGTATTATACAAAGTGAATACAAGGGTGACATATCTAGAGATCCTTGTACGGTAAAGGTAAGGTAAAGGGTGCATTCTGCTGTGGGACATTTAATTATTGTAAGTACATGTATACAGAAGTACAACCAAAACTACCCAAATGGGGTCTTTTTGAAACCTAAACATTTTGCCAATTGTTGAACTGCTGAGGTGATATATTTATTCCTTTGTGAATGTGGCTGTTTCTATGTGGGAAAGACTAAGTTGGAATTTTGGAGACGTGCATATAGACAAAAAGTATGCATACAGGTGACCCTGAATTACCCTTAGGACGACATGTTCTTGCAATACATAATGGCCAATTCCCAAGGATCCAATTTCTCATTCTTGACCGAGAACATCCAGGCCTTAGAGGGGGAGACTGGAACAAGCTGTTGCAGCTTGAACTCAGATGGATTTTCCATCTTCCATCTTTTTTTTAGGCCCTTTTTAGAGGGGTTCATGTCCGGAGATGTGGAAAAACAGACCTCCCTCCACCGTTCCATGGGGGTTTGGGAGTATGGGGATTCTTTGTATTGTAGTGTATACAATGCCCTGTGGTAGATTGTATATTCTACTATTGCTCTATGTGTCTGTTTGAGACCCTTTCTGGTTATATGTCACTCTTGGCCCTATATTTTGTATAATGCTATAATATATCTGCTGTTATAATATTGATGTAACATATTATGTATGAGATCTATATAGCTTTCATGGTGATATGTCTAGTTTTGTTTTTTTTCAACTTTCTCTCTTGTCATGGGGTCGGTGGGGTTTGAACCAGGGTGCCTGGGTGTCTTCTTCTCAGTGCCTGGCATGCTGGGGCTGCGCCACTGGATCT